ACTTCCTTAATTCTGCACTGATATTCCTCTTACCACTATTCCCTCTCTTTCTTATTCTCTTTCTTGTTTTCTTTCATATTCTCTCTCACTCTCTCTCCTTCTTTCTTCCTCTCTTTCTCTCTCTCTCTCATGCATTTTTGGCCTTCTGGAATCTGCAGTTGGTAGGAAACATTCCTGTGATATATTTTCCTCTAAGTCACTTAACAGAAATAAGTTAACTGCCTGAAATTTAGCTTTGATGAGAATTATGGGCTGTTTAATGATCTTAGTAAGTAAACAGTTTAAAACCATATGATCCCAGAACTGTGTGCAGCTTGCCAGGGACACCTTTCTCTACTCACCCAGGAAAGATGAAACATTTAACATGATCCCAAATAAGCATCTCTCAGGAGGTATTGTCCCTGTATCACTGGAAGAAAGAAATGAATACTAAAAATATTTGCAATTCAAGTTTCCTTTTCAGTCTACAAAGAAACCATAAGAAGCATGCTGTTCTTAGAACCAGGAATGAACATTTTTGGTATATTCCTTGTATTCTGATCTTCATTCATCACAAAAGGTGAATAAGGAGCATTAAAACCTGGAAACGTATAAGAGCCTGGAAATCTGAAAGATCAAAATTAGAGGCACACATGTACAGCCTCAGTGTTCTGCAGTTGGAAATGTAGATTGTATGAATGTTACCAACCTGATGTAGGGCACCAGAGGGTCAACATGGTGGAGGACGATTGCAGTGATGTATGAAAACACAAATGTTGCTGCTGACCAAACAACCAAAGCCACGGGCAAGAAAGAGAGGCCTTGCTGAAACCACCACATTTCAACGCTGACTTCCAACTCCGAACACTGTGGAGAATTGAACAGAAATATTTACTAACAACATTTGGCTTTTCTGAGGCAAACTGCCTATTTGTATGGACTGCAGGTGCTGCCAGGGATGGCTCTTCTCATCACAGAGGCTGTGCCAGGATGCATTTGTGCATATGTGAATGCATTTGGTGTCACTCTCAGTCCTGTCCTGCAAAGCCAATGTGAGTATCTGACCTCAGGGCACGGAAGCAATCATAAATAAGCAGAAATAACATCTGGAAATGTTAACTCTGAAATTCTTAGAAGATCACAAGAAAAGAAATCAGCGACCAGTGTCGCTTTGCTGCATGTCTTGGCATTTGTTGCTGCCAAAAGAAGGTCAGATGGGTCACTGTGAATAACTGACTCTATTTTCTTCTCACCCTTGCATCGGAGAGTCACAGATCACCTCGGTTGGAAAAGATCTTCAAGATCATCGAGTCATAACACTGTGTTAGAATTAATGAGGCTGTGACAGAGGACGTGTGCTGATAGTGACAATTTAACTGATAGTAGCTCCTATAGAGCCTCTCATTTCCATTAACAATCAGCTGGGCAGACATTGAGAAAACAACCTAAAATTACTTTAATATCTGCACTCATTTAGTGCCTGTCATGCTGTGTGACTCAACATCTGTTACAAGAATCACTTAAATAACATTGCAGATACCTACGAGCATGAGCTGACTGCTACCAGCCACAACCTTTGAACTCAAGAACTGATGACTATGGGTGGAAGAACTGTGCTGCAGTTTTACAGGTGGGAGGGAAAGGTCCATTTACAGTGGAGTTAAACTGCTAACTACGTATTCACATGCTATCCAGTTCTGGACCTGTGAATGGAATACGAGACAGTGAAAAGGAGAAGAATAACAGAATGCAGATCCAAGGGCACCCCAGACAAAGATCTAGCAGCATGTGAGGAAAGGCCAATAGCACTATGGGAATATAGAAATAAGGCAGGACTGAGAGGCTTTAGGAGGCATGAAATGCCTAAAAGGCAGGAGACTAGCAAAACAAAGAGAGAGAAAGAGGCAGGAAGCACAATTAATACGTTTCACAGGAGGGAAAGGAATTTGAAAATAGAGAAGAGTGAATCTTGTGACAGAGTGGAGCTGATCGCCTCCTACACATCTCAGCACTGCTGCTGTGTACATCCTGCGCGCTGCTGCTGCTTGCTCCCAAGCATCTCTTCCCAAGGTGCATCTTTCTGCTGACCTCCTCCACCTGTGTGTCCAGGGAAGCTCACGGAAGCCCAGCTCTGCAGATTCATCAGCTAATGCTGCATAATGAGCATTGCTCATTTGCAAGAAACTCATCACCGCCTTGTGCCTGTGCTTCCTTGAAGCCTACAGTATCAGTGGTTCAAACAAGGCACGCTCCTGGGACAGAGCAACAGCCACCCATGACTGATAGACCTTGAAAAGAATGAATTACATCCTTATAAAACTAAAGGTTCAGCTGCTGGTAAGGAAGACATTAGGTATCGGATAACTACATCTTAAGAATAAAGTGACCACTGAAACTGCTTGCTTTCTGACCCTTATACTTTCATTTTTAAGCTAAAGATAATGTAACATTTGTCCTTTAATGTTGACTTTCATTTAAAGGCCCTCATGCAAAACAGATCATAATGAATATAACTTCAAAATCCCATATCTCAAATGTGTGAATTTGGAATCTGCATGAAAGAAATGTGTATTTTGCACAGCAATCTGTTTCCAACTTCAAAGCAACTTCGGGCAGTCAGTCTGGTATCTGCATTTTGATTTGCCTTTAGCATTTAAATGTTATCAGTGCCTTAATGTTATTTCTGAACTAACAGATTTTTGCCTGAAAACAAACAAACAAACAAACAAACAAACATGCCACGTACCTGAGAATAAGGATGTTGAATGAATTCCTCAAGAGAAATCCAGAGTCATCCTTCTGGTGAAGCTCCCCATCCACTTCATTTTCCCCTAAATGGTTGAGATATGAAGGAAAACACTCCAGATGTGAGGTAAATCTTTTCATCTACACTAGTCTCTTTCTTAGCATCTTCTGTTAGTCACTGCCACAGGACTCTGGGTAGGTGCACCTTTGGCTTGACTCAATGTTTTTTCTATTCTTAAGTGGTTTAAGAAGTGAAGCACCTGTATGGTGGGACAGCAGCAATGCAGGAGAACAGGTTAAAGACTTTTGGATTCATATAACTTGTCTATAGAAGGGTTTAACTTGAAATGAGAAGCTTTCCAGCAGAAACCTGAAAGCGACTGTTCCAATGGAATTAAAATTGTTCCAGTGCAATTAAACTGTTCCCAACTGATTACTGTGGGTATCCCCATGATCCATCCCACCCCACAGCTGGAGGCAATGCCCTGCACACAAATCACCACCATTTGCATGTGGTCAGGTGCACAGAGCAGCATGGCAGCTGGTTGCAGGATGCTGTGCAGAGGCAGACCTGCTGGCCAGCCCTGCAATTAATTATGATTAGTGCCTCATCCTGTCCTATTGTTTTCAACAGCAAGGATTAAAACACACTCAGCCTCCTGCTTTTTTTCCAGCGAGGCCCTTTGCCAACTGATGATATCTCGGCCATGGGCAGCCTCTCTCTTCAGGATTGTTTTCTAAAACCTGTATCCTGTTTTGTAGACATGTCTGTGTGCTAAACGGGGAAGGGCTGACCCTCAGGTAATACCTGTGACAGGTATCGTATCAAACCATATCGAGGGCAAGTCGAGGAAGGGCATTAAAAGCACAGAGCTTTCTTTATGCACAGGAAATGGGCAGCAGCACTGAGAGCACACGGAACAGAAACTACAGAAGTAACAAAAATAAAAGACAACCGAGATCACAAAGGGCAAAAAGTTATAGGTGGAAAAACAGCAGAAAGCACACGTGGAAATGGGAGAATTCTGAATCCGTGCTGGGACAGGAAAAGCACTGCCTGCCTCTCCCTGCGCTCCCAGCCCCGCAGGCGGGTGCACTGCGAAAACACTGCGGTGAGGGCAGAAAGAGAAAGTGTGTGTGCTCTGCAAGGTTGGACGGGGACGAGTCGCAGGGGGACACGGCAGCGATCCCTTGCACAACTTGTTGTCAGGGTCAGACCGATAACAGCGGATAAAGGTTGGGAACCTGCAAAGGAGCAAAGCGAGAGCGCGGGGAATGGACGGGCTGTGCTGCTCGCACGGCTCAGCGACGGCAAAGGGCTCGTTTTGAGCGTTTTGTCCATCCAGAGCCCAACAGCTGCTGCGTCCTGCGTGGGGGTGAGCTGCTGGGGGCCGAGGGCTGGATACGTGGGTGGACGGTGATGGGACAAGGGAACGGTGTTCAACTGAGTTTAGGTTGGATATCAGGAGGAAGTTTGTCAGCCAGAGAGCGGTGAGGCACTGGAACAGGTTGCCCAAGGAGGCTGTGGACGCCCCATCGCTGGGGGCATTGAAGGCCAGGCTGGATGTGGCTCTGGGGGGGTCAGGAAGGAGGGGAAAAACCGAGGGGGTGGGGGGGCGGAGGGGCTGAGCGGGAGCAGCCGGAGGCGGCCGGGCGGTGCCGGGAGGTGAGCGGTGAGACGAAGGGTGTCTGGGAGAGGCGGAAGGGAGGACGGAGCGGGCCGGGACCTGCCAGGCTCAGTGTACGAACCCCAACCCAGCCCCCTCCCCGCGCCCCCGCGCCGTTACCTCAGCCGCTCCCGCCCCGGCCCCGCGCGCCCTGCCCCGCCCCCACCCATTAGCCCCGCCCCTTCTCCGCCTCATTTCCGGCTGTCGCAAAAGCGGCGTAAAGCACCGCTGGGCGGGGAGGCCGAGGTAAGGCTGCGCGCGTCCCGCCGCCCTGTGCGCTGCCGGGGGGTCCCGCGGGAAGGGGCTGCGGTGTAGCTGCGGGGAGGGCCGGAGGGCCGGGCTGGAGGCGAGGAACGGGCACCGCCGGGCCGGCCTGCTGCGCGTGTGGAGCCGGGCCGGGCCTGGAGGTGCCCCCCCGACAGCTCCGGGCTTTGTGGGCTGCGGGGCAGCCGGGCCGCGTCCCGCACTGCGCCTCGGTGCTCTGCTTGGCCGCGGGAGCCCGGGCTGCGTTTCCCGAGGCCGGGCGGGCCGCGAGCCGCCGTGAGCTGCGGTGCCTCCGCTGCCGCCTCCCTGCGGAGCCGCGCTCTGCTCCCCACTGCGCCCTTCTTCCTGCTCGCGGAGCTCCGTGCTGTCAGAAATAGCCTTAGTTAACTGCAGCGGGGCTGGAAGTTGCCGTGTGTTTGTTCTTACACCGCAGTTGACCTTTGATTTACAGCTGATTCTTGCTTAACGGTTGATTCTGTTTATTTACATAGGCTGACCCTCATCTAAAAAGCAAACTTTCCTTTTCGGTCTCCACCACCTCTCTGTTAGTCTGTACAGAGGGTTTTGTGTTGTTGGAGAGCTGGGATACCACAAAGCTCCTCGTGCTGGAGGTGCTGCTGCTGGCCCCGTGTCTTCTCATTGTGGCTCTCTTTGGTAGCTGGAGCTCTGCATATTTCTCGCTTAAGAGTTGAAAGAAGCAACGAGCTTTCAGCTGGATTGGGTTACACTTAAGGAAAAGTGGGGAAAAAAACCAAACGTGCTTATTCCTCCTTAAAGGGTTTGTTACTCCTCACCAAAGAGGGTAAGCTGCTTCAAAGCTGCTGAACTTTCCCTTTATTTGTATTGCCATCAATTGATAATCTGAGCAGGGAACGTGGGCTGTGTGTACTGCCCTAGGGAGCTGTGAGGGACCTGACTGTGCCTTGGTCTGTAACATCAGGCAGCAGTGTGCTGCAAACTTCTGCTGCTGATGAAATTTAGGCAAGTGGCTGCAGGATATTTGCTTCTGTAGGCAGAAAAAAAGGTAAACAGTGTAACTTGCTACTTTATGACTACATTGAGAACGTTCTTTCCTGTCTTCCCTCAACAGTTCTCCAAATATCCTCCTTTTCTAAGGTAAAACTCTTGTACGGTCATCCTGGCTTGCTGCAGGCAAAATGAGATGCTCTGTGGAGCATTAAAAACTCCTGATATTTCAAACATCAGTTTATCTCAACCCTTTATGTTGCAGGATCTTAATGATTCTCCGTAACAGCTGTTACCTGCCAAATAAAAACTCTGAGGCCACCCAATCCATGAGCGGGCATCGGAACCTCAAGAGGCGATGCGGGGAGTCGCACCTGGAATCCCCTGCAGGCTGTGCCCACGGTCCTGCTGCTGCCTGTGTGCTAAGCAAGCTAGTTCAGTTGCCTACACCTCCCTTGTCAAAGCACCAGCTGAAACGGTTAGAAGAACACAAATATCAGAGTGCTGGACGGTCGCTGCTTGAACCTCTAATGCAAGGTTACTGGGAATGGTTAGTTGGAAGAGTTCCAGCCTGGATTGCCCCAAATCTGATCACCATCATCGGACTGTTAATAAATATATTCACAACCCTGCTATTAGTATACTACTGCCCAACAGCTACAGAGCAGGTAAGTTCTGGGCCTCTGACAGCCTGTGTCGTTGCTGTGATCTGAAAGTGGTTGGCACTGTTCCCTGCTGGGATCCTGTCTTTATGGGGAGCTCTCTCTCCACGAGTAGCCCACAGTTGTCATACAGATGGTTGTGATGCTGGTGCTTGCATGCAGGAAGAGCAGTGTAGGTTTTGGGGAGCGTGTGTTCTGCTGAGGGCTGGTGGAAGGGTTCCTGTGGGCCATCATGTGTTGTGTGAAATGGAGTCCAGTGCCAAAATAGCTGTTGGGGCAGCAGCTGTGATGGACCTGCTGCATGATGCTGCAGCCCCTCAAGAATATGCTTGAGTTCATTCTGGTCTAGAGGGAGACATCCCTGCCTACAGCAGGGGTTTGCAACTAGATGATCTTAGAGGTCCCTTCCAACCCAAACCGTTCTGCGATTCATGTGCAGGCAACTAAAAAATCTACATGTCTTGCTTGTGTAGCTTTTGTCCTGTTTTCCTGTTTGCTTTCCCTGTTTGTCACTGGGTTAGTCACTTCAGCTATCTGAGTTGGAGTTACTACACAACAAGAAGAGCAGGGTGACTTGATCCGCGGTTAATTGAGTGCTGCAAACCCAGCTAGAGTTGCAAAACAGTGAGCAATGTTAGATCAAACCAGGGACTGAGCACTGGCAAAATGGTCTCAGGAGATCAGGGCAGGCTGCTTCCTCCATTTCTAATGTAACTGACCCCTCTGTGCTGAACTCAAGGAGTGTCCTTCTGTATCCTCTGTGGTCCTGGCACCCTGTGGTATGGAGCAGCTCGGATGAGGACTACAGGCACAATGAGTTATGTGCTGTGGGAGCACAAAAACATCACATGGAGCAGCGTGTCACTTGAGCAGCCTGCGATGTGAGAAGGCTGGGTGAGAGCCAGGAGCTGTCTGCTTTGTGCTGGGTGTACTAAATGCTCGTGACCTGTTCTCAGGTCTCACCTTCTCGTTACTTCTAGTTTCAAGGATGCAGAAGTCTTTATCAGGCATTTCAAGTTACTGGCTTTGTGAACTCTATAAAACTTGTGTAGGTTGATGCTGTGCACCCCAGCTGCTTCCTGGTTCAGGCAGCAGCATTGCTACGTGACTGTAATTTGCTGCTTGCTTTGATAACAGTACAAGGCACTGAACCTGAGCTTCATTTAGAGCACAGTTGTATTGTGGTTAGTACTTAAACTTCTGAAGTTCATGCTAAGCAAGCCGTGGAATCATACAGCTGTGCTTGGCTGCGTTACAGTCGCTACACGTTTAACAGCTTGGGAGTTGCTTTGTGCTTGGTGGGTTTGCCTTCTCACTTCGCTGAAAAGGGGCTTTCTGCTGAGTTGGTGCTCAGCCTGATCTCATTGCCCTGCAGTGGGATGCCAGCTCTGTGGTGGAGCTGCAGGATTCTGCTTTGAAGTGTCAGGCAGCTGTCTGGGGTGAAAGTGGGACTTTGGGATTCTAGAAAGACTGTTTTCTTCTGAAAGCAGCGTTGCTTTGAGGTGTAAATTGGCTCTTCCTTGCAGCTCTTAGTTCTGCTCTTTTTGAAAGCAGGTTGGCTACACCTTTTGTCAACAGGAGGAGTCATAGGAATGTAGCTTGCCCTTACAGATATGCTGGTAGCTAAGAGAAAATGCAAGCAGTTTGAATAGAGAGGTGGCTGAAAGCAGAGCACAGGTGGCAGCTTTAGAACAATGCAAGAGGAGAGAAAGCTGGATGTGCTGCAAATGAGTCAAGGCTGCGTTGGCCAGAGGAAGCCAGGCGGTTTGACGCCTTCTGTATTTCTATGGGCATACAAATTGCTATACAGAATATGAATGCTAAGGGTTATTAGCATAGATTTGGCAAAGCTGCTCTTACACAGTAGTAAAAATATGGCAGCATGCTGTGCTGCAGAGCCCTGAAGCTTGGCAGATCTCAGGAAGTGCAGTTCAACCAAAGGTCTGAACAAGGTGAAGGTGAGCTCAGTGTTTGGGAGGCAGTTCCACATTCTGGGGGCTGAGAAGGTGTTCAAGTTCCAACGTTGCTCAGCCAGCTTACAAATTCCCCTATGGGAAATAGAAGCTAGAAGGGTGTAACTGTCCTGCTTTGCATGTGCTGTCGGTGTCTTTTTTCAGACACAGCTTCCTGCTTAGAAAGTGCACTGCACCAATTAAACTTAGTAACAAAGCAAACCATTACGTGCTGTTTCACATTCCCCAACTCCCTCTGTCCGTCCCTCCAAGCTACTGAAAGATCCACTCATGTGCCTTTATAGACCTCTAGGTGAAGGAGTGTGTGAAAATGCAAAGCTATAAAGTGAGTTTCAGGTGGTCTGAAGTTAAACTACATCCTTACAGTTTAAAACACCTCTTACCCTCACTGACAATTTCTTCCTTAGGCACCTCCCTGGGCGTACATTGCCTGTGCTTGTGGCCTTTTCATCTACCAGTCTCTGGATGCTATAGATGGGAAGCAGGCAAGGAGGACAAACAGCAGCACTCCTCTGGGAGAACTTTTTGATCATGGCTGTGATTCGCTTTCCACAGGTATTGTTGCTTTTTTTAATTGAAGTATGGAGATTAAGTTAGTATTTCAAGGATGAAATCTGGAATGTAGGAGCAGTTCCTTTACTGAGCTGTGGGTTGCTTAGTTTTCTTTCCACAGACAGTGTTGATCAGCTGAATGTCTTCTCAAGCACCTCACTAAGTCCAGCAGTTCTGTGTATGCTTTCTCAGTGCTGTGAAAATGGACTGTAACAGACAGTGGAAGTGCTCTGCTGTATTAACTTAGCTCTAATTTGTACAGGACGATTACAGGGCATGTTTGGGGCAGAGGAAGGCTGAGTTTGGGTGGTGTTGGTCAGGTCACCTCCCTGCCCAGTAGGTGGGGTTCGCTGAACCAGCCTGAAGTTCACCCTTGCTGAAGGAGATGATCCACTGCTCTCAGTGATTTAAATTCTGAAGCTCTTATGCTTTTTATTTGGATGAATGCTTCTGTTGAAGTCTTGCATTAAAATAATAATAAAATAATGCATAGATGCATCATGCACCTTGGGTTTTCTTGGTGATATATTGAAGCTTAAGGGGAAAGATGTTCAGCAAACCTCGGTTATGCGAGGAAAGCCTGAAATTCTGTTCTCAGGCTTAAATGGCTCAGATCTGCTGGTCTGTAATCCTGCTGAGTTCAGTAAAAATGGAGGAGACAAAACCTTGACACTGAGAACTTCTGTTAACTGACAGGAATTGTAATACCCTTATTTTTTTTAATGGAGATGTCTCTCTCTTATAAATGCCTATAAAACAAAGCCCACGAGTACCTTTACGCTCTCCTGCCTGGGTCCTTTGTTAGATTTGCTGCCGCTGAGGATCTTTACACACACTTTATATTTTTACCCTGTGACTGATTTTCTTCTGCAGTCTTTGTGGTTTTGGGAACTTGTATTGCTGTGCAGCTGGGGACGAACCCTGACTGGATGTTCTTTTGTTGTTTTGCTGGGACATTCATGTTTTACTGCGCGCACTGGCAGACGTACGTCTCTGGGACGCTGCGCTTTGGCATGTAAGTACTGGGCTGGAAATAAAGTTTGGCTTTCCTGTCTCATCCCTCCTTGTGATTGCAGCTCTTGTCATTGCAGTAGTAAATTGCTTAGATTTGTATCTGTGTGCTTAGAGCTTGTGGGAGCTGTCGGATCCCCAGTGAGCACTGGATGTTGTTTAGCTTGTCCTAGGAGTGGTAAAATAGCCCTCTGTCACACTGGGAGCTTGTGATTTGATTTAAATATAAACAAGGGGGAGAAATGGGGCTTCACCTCTGAGATGTTAAAGCTTTGTCAGGTGGTGGGAATCTGCCTTAACCACCTCTCAGCAGGACTCTTAAAGACAGTGCTTTAATTGATGTTGTGACTGCGTCTGACTGTGGGTTATTGTTCTGTCAGTAATGATACAAAATGTGATGTTTTGAAAGCCAGCAGCTGAAGCTGCGTTTACTTGTGTGTGAGGTTCCTAAGGGGCTGATTGAGTGATGGGATTTGTCAGCCTTCGTGTGGGACGTGTGATGTTGCAATCTAAAATGTATTTCAAATAATTAAGCTGCAGAATGAATTTGCATCTAGAAACCTCTGGAAACCCACCCATAGTTTGTATGGGATTCTGAAGCAATGCTACAACGAGTGCTGTTTATTTATGGTCAGTTATTCACCTGTAGCCACTCAGGGCTAAAGCAGTGGCTGTGGACCTCTGCTGTGTCCCAGTTCTTAAGGGCAGAGTAAAACAAGACACCTGGCTGATAACCTGGGCTGGTTTTTAGGCTCTTTCCTGTCACACTGTGCTGAAGCTCTCAGTACTGAGTGTTTGTAGCTCCCTGTGAGCACTGTGGGATGCTGATAGTGGCAGATTTCCTCTTATCAATTGGAGAGCAAAAAAACCTTGGCATGTGCTTGGCTTTGCAGATGTAGGTGTCAAAGCTGCCTGGCGTCTCTGTGCTCTGAGCAGATGTGGGTTACTCCTGCTGTTCACTGCCACTTTGGCTTTAGCTCTGAGGATCTTCATGCTGCAGCAGATGCTGTTGTTCTCCATGGCCCGACGTTATGAAAACTTGATCCATCAGTGTGTAGCTGATCTAGAGGAGGCAATTCAGATAACAGCCCACGTTGTGATGTGAACACATCTGTTTCTTTGCCTGGTGTCGTAAGGTTAACAGGCTGCCACAAGCTGACGTTTGTTTCTGTGACAAAAAAGCTGAGCCTATTTATTCTGTGAACTGATTCTCTGTTAGAAATTGCTGTTTTCTGAGTCTTCCATTTCTCCAAATGCAAGTCAGTGCTGCATCTGCCTCTGCAGATCTGCAGGCACACGTGGGCTTCGTTCTTCTTGCTCCTGAGTAGTGGAAGCAGACAGCTGTTGAAATGGGCAGAAGAGGTTTTAGCGTGCAGTGTTTTGTTCCTGCCTGTGTGTCCTCAGGTGCAATGTAGAAACTGTATTTGATTACAGAGATCAGTTCAGTAGGCAAGCTGTGAGTGGCTCAAAACAGCAGCAGGCTGCTAAAGACAGATTAATACTTTTCTCCTTAAACACAGTTCAGATTTGAACATTGAAGCCTATAATCGACTTTGCTGCTCTGCAAATGGATTTTATCAGCAAGCCGTGTTTGCCCTGAAGGAGGAGAAAATTAAATTGCTTCTGTTAAACTGCTACAGAGTATTTATTGCAGGTAGAGACCAAAAACTGAATTACTGAACACACAGCTGCTTTGGTTCTTTCTCCCCTCATCAACATCAGAGCCAGCCTGGACACTCCAGGCTTGTTGACACAGCGTGCTTCTGGTGCTCTGTCTCCATCTTTAGATTTAATGTGAACATTTCCACTCGCACTCGGCCGCTGATGCTCTTCTCAGAGCAGTTTGGTTCAGTCGCTAGAGGTCAGTGCTGTGTAAGCATCCACTGCGAGGAGGCTGGATCCCTCTCCAAGCCGGGTTTGTTACAGTGCGACTCATTGGAGCAGCAGTGCGGTGTGTCGTGTGGAGGCTTTGTTCAGGAGCATCTCCACTGGGAACGGGCTCACGGGACAGCAGGGATGTGCTGCCCTGCTGAAGGAGCAGAAGGGTGGTTTGGAATTGCAGGATAATGTGATATTCCAGCTGTGCAGATAGTTGCTTTGTTTTCCTGTCCTGTTTTCTCTGGGCTGTGGGATAGCTGTGCCACAGTGCAGAAGGTGCTCAGTGCTGGGTGAGTGCAGCTGTGCCGTAACTGGGGCATCTCTGGTTTGGAAAGCTGCATCTCTTATGTCACAGAAATCAAGCTGCTTACATCCGCCTGGACTTCCACATGTCTGTGTGGAAGCAGGTCTGCTGTCCTGGGAACATCCTGCAGAAATTGAGGGCATTCAGTGGTATGGGGCACAAAACCGGAACGGAATTTGCCTGCTGTTAGCTGTGCTGTTGTGGTTACTGGCTCTGGTTCTAGACCCAGACTCATTCTGCTTGGATTCTGTACTGCAGCTGCTCACGAATGTTAGGAGCAGCTGTTTCTGCAGACTCAGTACTGCATTTAACCTTGCGAGGTCGGTGTGCAGGCAGCCTGGCTCTGCAGGAGCTGTCTCAAATCCAGGGTGGTTAGAAGTGAAGCTGGAGCTCTCAGTCACTGCTGGAGCAGTGTGGGATTCTGCATTGGCACTCAGGTGCTGTTCTAAGGGACACAGACCACAGCAGAGATGCTGGTGCAGCACAGGCAGTGGCACAGAACAGAAGGGAGTCCTTCACACTCAGCAGTGCTGGTGGGTAGTGCTGAGATCACTGGCGTCCACCCAGAGACATGGGGATGTTGCTGCATCATGATTTCCATCATTTCCCCTGTGAGTTATTCACTGGGCGTACCCTAACCCTGCTGAACTGAAATATGGGAAGTTGGCACCGGTAGAAATTAGTTGTGTGTGCATACAGACAATGGAAATTAGTTTCTGAGGATGTTTTATGATGGCATATCAGTAAATGCTGAGAGGAAGGAACAGCTCAAGAAGTTCCAGTTGGTTCCTTGTGAGCCCTCCTGCTGTACAACTGCTGAGGTAGAACGGAGAGAGCAATACCTGGGGCTGTATTTCAGAAACCAGCCAGAATGAAGCCTCCCTCTCTGGTAAGTGTTTCACATTTTGTTACACTCAAGTGAAAATGGTAGATTGCAATTGGCTGAGATTAAACTCTGTAGTATCCCTTAAAACAAAGCATTTGAATTCCAGTGTGTGCCTCACAGCCTTTTTCTTCTGTGCTGTGACGATGAACATTCTTTTCTTGCTGCAGTGCTTCCCTTAGGAAAACACACTTTTGTCTCGTGGTCGGATTTGTAGGTTGTGGCTCAGCCTGAGTAATCCCACTGCACGTTTGGTACGACAGATGGAAGAATCATTTCTCAGAGCAGGGTGCTGCTGTGCAGAATTTTAAGTAATGAACACAGCCCCGTGAGTTTCCCAGCCTCATCAGTTGCATTTTGTGATGGGAAAGGAGTGCTGCTCTTGTCTGCCTTGTGCTGCCTGGGGCTGTCACAGGGGATTCTGGATGTAGAGGAGGAGGGCACAGGTCTTCCCCCATGGCTGTGCACAGCAGAAGGGCTGTCAGTGCTGACTGACGTGATTTCGGGGCAGTGTCAGTGTCTGCTTCCTGTTGTTGGTTGGTTCACTTCTCAGGAAATCTCTTAACTTTGAAATCCTTTCAGTTCACCGTTCTGGACAAGAATGGACTGCAGCTGTTTCTGAGCTGAAACTTGATTCAGGGTGATACTTGTAAAGCCTGATGAGTTGTTTCATCAAACAGAGCCATCCAAAAACTGCACGCTCAATGTGCTCAATAAATTAGCACTGACAAGTGTGTATTTTGATGTCTGACTAATCAACTTGTGCATTAATTGGCTCAGGGCTCTTACCAGCTTGATGAGGGAACCTAGCAGAGTGGCCAGCACACAAAAGCCTTCTTGCTGCCAACATCTGAGCAGGGTTAAGCACATGCCAAGGTTGGTGGCCTCTTTGTTGGGCTTTCCTAATGTTTAGGAAAAAGCCACGTGTAAATTACAAATACTGAGTAATGTAGGAAGAAAAGGAAAGTGTAACTGCTCAGAAAGACCAAAGTCATGTGTTGTGTGCAATTTCTCTTCCTATGTTTGCTAAAACAACAATTTAAATCTCCTTAGTCACTGACCGTGATAGAGAACAGAAAATGGGTGTCAGGTGGGAATTGGGGCATGGGACTGAAAAGTGAGCATAGTGAGCTGTGCTGCTCTGCTCCCTGAGCACGGGGCATGGCAGTTGTTGCTGTTCTGAATGGACTTTGTGAAGCACTGCCCGAAGAAGAACCTGTTAACACTGAAGTATTTCATTCTGTGTGGGCTTGAGAACGGGATGGGGAGACGGGAGGTCTTGGGCTGTTCTTAATTGTGACCTGGAGCAAGGAGTTTAATTGTTTCCTTATCCAGAAATGATGAGGCTTTCTCTCGTGCTGGGTAGAACATGGAATTGTGTCACATCTGGGTGTGAATCCCACCTGGGTGACAGCGCTTCAAATTCATTCATACTGTCACTTTGTGTGGCTGCTAAAGCCCTCCCTCTCACCCCCTGTGTTCTCAGTGGCCGCTCTCTTAACATGGCATAGCAGTTTTATTTTACACCTCCGATGCAAATCCTTTCTGATGGGTTCTGAAACCGAAGTGTATAAAAAATAATGAACGCTTTGAAATGTTTCTTTCCCTCGCACGTAGATTTGATGTTACAGAGTCGGTGCTCTGTACCATAGTCATGCAGCTCCTCACGGGAACCCTGGGGCCCACGTTCTGGAACTACACGGTAAAGCCTTAATGCTCCCAGCAGTGGTGGCATGGACTGAGCCTCCCAGCACCTTTGTCATGCACAGAGTAACTGGGATAGGAAGTGCATCTTCCTGCGGGTATTTCACACGTGCTTTGAGAGCGGGGGAAAATGTTTGCTAAGTCCGAAAGAGCAGTAAAAATCCAATCTAACCACGTTGTTCTTCTCTGAAAGCATCGTGTTTTCGCTTGGAAACAAAGCAAGGCTGCCCTGAAA